AAATGGAGTTCGACCAGATCCTAAAAAGATAGAGGCAGTTCAAAATTTTCCGATACCTAAAAACGCGAAAAATGTAAAACAATTTCTCGGATTAGCTGGATATTATCGTAGATTTATACAAGGATTCTCAAAAATAGCTAAACCACTAACTAATTTGTTGAAAAAGGATATTGATTTTAACTGGGGAAATAAAGAACAAGAAAGTTTTAATGTGTTGAGAGACGCGCTTTGTCAGGAACCGATATTACAATACCCCGATTTTACTAAGCCTTTTCTTTTAACGACTGACGCGTCTGGAACTGCAATTGGCGCGATTTTAAGTCAAGGACAGGTAGGGAAAGATCAACCGATAAGTTATGCCTCTCGAGTATTAAACGATGCCGAGAAAAATTATTCAACGATAGAAAAGGAATTATTAGCGATAGTGTACGCTGTACAACATTTTAGACCATATCTTTACGGTAAAAAATTTAAATTAATAACCGATCATAAACCATTAACTTGGCTTCATAAATTGAAAGACCCTACATCACGTTTAGCGAGATGGAGAATTAAATTAGCCGAATACGATTACGAAATAATTTACAAACCAGGAAAAATTAATGCTAATGCTGATGCTTTGTCAAGAAATCCTACGACAAGTATATATCCAATACATCCCTCGTACGACGAAATCGAAGAATGTCCGGAGGACGATGAAGCGAGACAGAGAAACGCTAAACCGAAACCTATACCTGCTTCACCAAGAAGAGGAACAATGAGAGAAGAGCCAGAGCCAATTGTTGCGGGGATGCGAACGCGCCATATGGAAACTTCAGAAGGAGAAAGCGTACCATTTACTAAGAAAGAACTGGAGGAATTACCATTTTACGAGCATGTAGTTCACGCAGAAATACATAACGAACCAATGAATCGAATGAATGATAATAATAATGCTAACACTTTACCAGAATTATCTGAAACTGAAGATGACAATGAAAATACATTATCTGAAGAAGAAGATAAAAATGAAATAGAGCCATTATTATTAGAAAGCAGCGACAGTCACATTGATGAAGATTTATCCACCTCACCAATAAGTATACCACCTAATCTTTTACAGATAATAAATAATTTAGCAGAAGACTATGAAGACGATGAAATTAATCAAAACGAAACTCTGCATGAAGAAAATTGTGAGGATTCAATCCCAATAGCCGAAGACAACGAAAACAATGACCAGATTACCGACGATGACGATTCCGGAGAAGAAAACGAAGACGAAGAAGGAGACAATAGCGACAAAGACGTTGACGCAACTTACAATGAATTAGACACGAATGACCCGACACCCGAAATTGAAAGACAAATAATAACACGTGGGCAGAAACATAGTATAATAAATAGTCGCGACCAAATTTTTATGCGAAAAGAAAATTATTTATATTTCTTAACCACAAACGGTAAACCTTGTGACGAAGGATCAAAACAACTTCAAAAACAAAATTTGATACCAAAAATTAAAGAAAGTAAAGTAGGAAACATCGAAATTGTTAAAAGGGGAAATAGAATCCATTTAATTTTAATATGTAAAGAGAATATTAAAGAAAAAATGACTAGAGAATCACTACAGAGATTTGCAATTAAGTTACGGGAAATAATAAAAGAGAAATCGATTGAAATAATAAATATAGCAAAAACTAAAGAATTTGGTGGTATTCAATGGGAAGAAGTCTTAAGTCACATTCGGGAGTCAATTATTGGAACTTCAACTAAATTAATAATTTGTCATGGATTAGTAACAATTCCGGAAATTGAAAAACGTAAAGATATTATAGAAGAAGCTCATTCATCAAAAATCGGTGGACATAAAGGAGTAACTAAAACTTACAATCGAGTCAGACAAAATTTTTATTGGAATAATATTAAAACTGATATCCGAAATTATATTAATCAATGCCTACAATGTCAGACTAAGAAATTGGTTAGAGTAAAAACAAAACAGCCTATGCTAATCACCGACACACCTTTTTCTTCCTTTGAAAAAATATCAATGGATATAGTAGGACCATTACCTGAAACCACAAAAGGAAACTCCTATATTTTGACAATTCAAGACCACCTTACAAAATTTTCCCTTGCCATCCCTTTGAGATCAATAACCGCTATTCAAGTTGCTGATGCATTACTAAAATATTTTATTTGCACATTTGGAGCACCTAAAGTAATATTAACCGATCAAGGAACGAATTTTATGAGTAATTTAATGAAAAGATTTGCTAAACAATTTAAAATTAAACAATATAGAACTACAGCTTTTTATCCACAAGCTAATGGAGCTTTAGAACGATCGCATTTAGTATTAGTCGAATATTTGAAACAATATGTAAATAAATTTACAGAATGGGACGAATTATTAGAATTTGCAGCTTTTTCATATAATACAAGTACTCACGAATCAACTGGATATACTCCATACGAGTTGGTATTTGGAAAATTAGCCAGACAACCATCCAGTGAAATAACAGACGAAACAAAAGGAAAAACATACGATGATTATTTATATCAATTAATGACAAATATTCACGAATTACAAGAATTAGCTCGGGAATGTCTAATCGCATCAAAAATAAAGTCTAAATATTATTATGATAGAAAAATAAATCCTCAAGCATTTCAAGTAAATGATCAAGTTTTTCTTTTAAGTGAGCCAAAGAAAGGAAAATTAGGCGATCAATATTCAGGGCCACATATTATAACAGACATTTTACCTAACGGTAATGTCAAAGTTTTTGTCAAAGGAAAACCAAGAATTGTTCATGCTAACAAAATTCGTAAAACGAAACATTAAGAGATTGAACATGTACCGCGAAACATTTTCAATCTCAGATTTACTAATGATATCTTTTATATTGTATTTAAAACAGATGCGGGCAATAATCTGCCTAACTGTCATCGGAATTCTCTCCGTACGAGAAACCTTCGGAATACTCGGATATGATTGTGGAACAACGAACTCTAATATAACGACCGTATCACTATTAGATATAGGAGAATGCAATATACCACTAATGGAACCGCATGTAGAAGGGATAAGTATTCAGTTATTGCAATTGTCAAAATACGATTCAACCAATGTAATTCAATGTAAAGTTTCTATTTCACGAACGATTCACTATTGCGGAATGCATTCTCATGTAGCAACTGTAAGTAATGCGCATGCAGAATATATAGTCGACACAACGTTAGATCAATGTAAAAATATGCACAGAACGGGCATACTAAGCCTAAGCGTAAATAAGGTAATCCACGGATTAAAAGTAAATCAGACGACATCGCGACCCATCACTTTTGCGGGGTCTGCATCGACAGATGGAAAATGTTCAGGAGTAGAATATTCAGATCCTTATGGTACGTGGCAAGATGTGGTTGTACAAGGAATAGTAACAGTTAGCTTAAGTACTCATCAAGCAGTAATTAATATTGAAACGAATCAAATCCATTTAAGAACGGGAACTGTTTGTCAATATGTAGACGGTAATTGTATAGATATTGAAGGAAGATATACTTATTGGGAAACTATACCTAATGATTATTGCAAATTCAGTCATTACGACGTATTGTACGAAGGAAAGGCAAAGAAAATGGTTAGCGAAACGAATGATAAACTACAAATACTATATTCCTTGTCGACACAAGATGTCACATTCGCACTTACGCGAATCGGCGAAGAGGTTCTTTGCGGATACACCCTAATTAAAACAGAACACCCAAAACTTGTAATTTTAGAAACAAATAAAGGAGATTCTTTTGCACGTAAAAGACCGTTAGCTATTGAAAACATAGATATTTTTGCCTACGTAAATTCAAAATTTGTTTATGTAGAACGACACATTCGCACACAAATGAATCGCTTATACACAGACGTATTAAAACAACGCTGCAATTTGGAACGGCAGGTGATGAAAAACGCGCTTAGCCTTGCGATGCATGCTCCCGACGACTTCGCGTACCAAATCATGAAAGGCCCAGGATACATGGCCGTGATTTCTGGAGAAGTAGTGCACATAACAAAATGCACCCCAGTGGAAGTAAAAATACGCCAAACCAGAGAATGTTACCAACAATTGCCTGTATCGAAGGGAAACGAAACATATTTCTTGACGCCCCGAACGCACATACTCTTTAGAACAGGAATGCAAATCTCGTGCAGCAGAATACTTCCTACAATGTACCAACTAAACGACGGATGGTACCGCATTACACCGAACGTAGAATACAGCAAAGCGCCCATGATAATGGAACCGATGACCAAGCCTACCTGGCATTACAGCGATCCAGGATCCCTGGCTGCGAGCGGCATTTACACCAATCAAGACCTCGAAAAACTGAGGGATCACATAATGTTTCCCGCCGAAAAGGTCGGAATACTGAATACCGTAGCACGAGGCGTAAAAGGGGAACCGATTATAACACAAGGAATATCACTCTCTTACCTCTTGGATGAGGACTCCTTGCAGAAAATCACAGAGAACGCCTGGAGGAAAATCTGGGGAGCGTTCTTAATTTTTGGCAATGCAACCGCAGGATTAATCGGAATGTACTTCTTCGCAAGGACGGCAAAACTGATAATTGACACAATCATACACGGTTACGCACTACACACTATATACGGATGGTCAATACATCTAGTCGGAGCACTGTGGGACTCGGTGACCAATTTACTACTACATCTGGCGCGAGGGACATCGAAAGATGACAAAAAACAGGGAAGAGAGGCAGGAGCACCCCCGCTCCCGGTCGAACAAGGAAAAATTGCAGCGGACACCGAGCACGCACATGTCGCACATGTACACGAACACGAACACACACACGCACATACTCAACTTTTACGATCTCCTTCATATCATATTGCTATGCAAGGCAATGTGGAAAATACAACGAAATCTAGTGTCCGCAACGGAGCTCACAATACGTATCCACAGTTATAAAAAAAAATTTTTTTTTTTCTCTCCTCTCACGTTTTGTTCCTTCCGAGAAAAACTAAAGTAATAACATAAGTTAGGAATAAATGTAAAATCCGAAAACTCGAGCGTTGGCCAGTACGATCTTAACTCTCGAAGAGCGCACAAGCCACATAGTTATATCAATCGCTGTTTGTTATAAATTCAGGTAAACAATTATATTATACACTAGAATAAGTTTAATTATAGAATTGTTAGTATCATGTGTTTGTTATAAATTCAGAACAAAATGCCCGGCCAATCGAAATTGCCGGACCTAGAAAATATATGTGGCGAAAACCAGTCGCAAAATTTAACCGTGCCGCCTCGAGCGCAATACGGGAAGGAATCGCAACGTAGAGAACTGGCACACGAGGTGATAGGAAATCTCTTTAGAGGACGGGCCAGGATCCGAAGGGCTCTTCGGCGACCGGGCCGTCTCAACCAAGCCAACCAAGAGGTGTTCCACGACGCAGACGCAATATTAAATCAAGCCCTGCTTGAGGAGCTCGAAGCACCTCCTCAAGAATTTCCTGACGGAGGTCGAGGGCGACCCCTCGCCAATTCCCCACCAGTAGGGCGAGCCAGAATCATGGCTCAACTCGTCGAAATGGGACGGCAAATGAGGATGGCTGGTCGAGGACATGGTGCTCCCATCCAACACAAGTAAAATAAAAAAAAATAAAAAAAAAAAATGATAAAGTGGACTTAATTAGTAATAAATTTTTTTTTATATAAATTTTTTTTTTTTTCTCTTAGTCCACACATATATGTAATTTTTTTTCTTTCATATTATTATTATTACTTCTTTTGTATTATTGTTCGGTCAAATATATTATACTTATACACAAATCCACCACGTTTTTTGAATTATAAGCGCACAATTACCTTTTCTTTAAAGAAATATATGTAACATAAAATAAGCCTCGAACCGATATCTAATAAACGGCGACGCGTTACACAACATAAACAAACAAAATTAGTTG